AGTCCTTACCAATGGAAATAGTGCCTTTACAAAAGCGTCTCCTGAGAGATTCCTAACCCCTCCCACCAGGTGAGGATGCAAGGAGAGGTCTGCACCAGAAGATGGCCCTCACTGGACCCTACTGGCACTCTGCTCTTGGACTTGCAGCCTCCAGAACTGTGAGAAATAAGCATCTGTTGTTTATAAGCTACCCAGTCTGTAGTATTTTGTTATAACAGCCCAAATGGGTTAAGTTAATTATACATGGATTAAAAGCCCAAATTAATAATAATATAATGGGGATGATGCATAAGAAAGGCCTAAATAAAGCAAAAAGGGAAAAAGGTTAAAATGTGGATATATCAAAGTTGAAAATGTCAAGACATCTTTTGTCATGCCTAAGTGAAAAGTTAAGAAATTCAAAGACAAGCCACAGACAGGAAGAAAGTATTTGCAACATTTATAACAGCTGAAGGAATAGCTTCTAGAATACAGAGAGAACTCTCAGCACAGGCAAGGGATATAGTAAGTAATTCATATAAGAAAAAAGAGAAATGGCCCACAAATGTATGAAAACATACACAGCTTACTAGCAAATCAGGCAATAGTAAATTAAAACAGAGGTACAACGGGTGTAGCAGATTGGCAAAAATTAAAATGATTCTTCATAGCATTGATGGGATTTAAGGAAACAGTTCCTCTCACATAAGACTGGCAGGATTATAAAATGACACAACTATGAAATAAAATTTAGGATACGTAGAGCCTTCAATCAGCAATTGTACTTCTGAGAATTTACCTCCGGGAAACCCTGGCCCACATACCCAGAGAGGGGTACCCAGGGCTGGGTGTTCTTATAGGATTGTTATCTACAGCCCCAAATTAGAAACAAACACCAACACTCCAACAATGAGAAATGTTTTCTGTTAAATAGACGTTAGTAACCCATCCCATGGTATATGATAGAGCAATTTAAAAGAATGGGGTAGATACACATGTACTTACATGAACAGTTCTCTAAGACATCTGTAAAGTGAAAAGCAAGTTTGTGGACACAAGTAGAACAAAATGAAATAGTTCCACAGTTAATGCATGTACAGCTTCATGTAAAAGACCCCTGGAAAGAGAGCATGAAGCTGTTTACCAGTATTGACTGTGGAGAGAGGACTAGGGTTGGGGTCAACGGTGGGCAGGGTGAAGGACATACAGACTGCTTTACTCTCTAGCACAAAGAACATGTTTGTATATTACCTGCAAAACTGAAAACCAATAAAATCTGTAACAAGAAAAAGAGAGAGGAAGTAGCTGGAGTCGTTCATTTAAAGTGTGTATTGTTCCTCCCATTTCTCTTTAATTTAATGATGTGTTCTGCCCCTCCCAGAACTCCTGCTTTAGGGATACAAGGAAGAGTTTACTCAACTATATTGAACTTCCTGGATCTGAACTACACTACGTAGTGACTAGTTTTATTTTTACACCAACCTTGGCACCGAAGCAGGGCATCGAGTTGCAAGGCAAAGGTCTACTTTGTTTTGTATTCTAGCAGGATAGGTTTTTATTAGCTCTTTAACATTGACCCCTTTCTTTCCTTCTCCAGCTTGTCTTCCAAAATTGTGATGCAGATTCTCCTTGTGGGTCACATGGTTGTGATGGCTGACCCTTCTTGTGTTGGTTTCTGGTCCCAATATGGATGGCACAGCTCCAAAAAAAAGGCACAGCCTAATAAGTGCCCGGGCTGGGCGGGAGCCCCTTCTCACCCAGGGTTACAAATAAACTGATCCCCTTCACATAATACACATGGACACAAGAAAAAAAACACCAGGCTTAAAACATCACATTCAGAAACTCATTCTTGCTTACTACAGTCAATAAGATTTACAGAGCTAACAATAAAAAAGGAAAGAATAATGAAAATTAAGTGTATAGTGGGAACAAAGTATAAGCAGGTATCCCGTAAGATGGTGTGCGTATTTATCTGCTTCTACCCATCCCAAACATGCTCTCAATGTTTCACCAAAGGTACCTAAAAATCAATGGCTAGCTCTGGCTTTGAATCCCTAAATCTATCATCTGAGCTGCCTGTCTTCTTTGCCACCGATCATTTGTAGGGTGACAAACCAAAGGAGGGGGTTAGGGAAAGGAGCATGTCATTGTCCCTGAGGATGAAATCAGTGGCTTATAATGAATGGGTGGCTCTACTCAATGGTATAAGGCAGCCATGATGGGAGAGAGGACGTGGGTAAGATACTGTGTAAAATGTTCGGATTTTCCTCCAGTGCTATAACAAGAAAGATCTTGTAACAATATGCTTTACCAAGAGCTTCTTAAAGCCACTCAGCTCGCCTCCCAGCAGACTAGGCATCCAGTGTTTACTAATCAAAGCATTTCAGTACAGGCTTCATGGACAAAGGGGAAAGGCTTTGGGAAGAAGCCAGAAGGGAGGTATAATACGCTAAGTACCAGTACAAGCTTCCAAATGAATGGAGAACACAGTGTGTAAAATGAAGAGCTAGCCTGGCCGGCATGGCTCCGTGGTTGCGCATCAACCTATGAATCAAGAGGTCACAGTTCCATTCCCAGTCAGGGCACATGCCTGGGTTGTTTGGCTCAATCCCCAGTGTGGGGTGTGTAGGAGGCAGCTGATCATTGATTCTCTCTCATCATTGATGTTTCTCTCTCTCTCTCTCTCCTTTCCTCTCTGAAATCAATAAAAATATATTTAAAAATAATAAAATAAAATCAAGGGATGAACTTCAAACCTCTTTTTTTCTCTGATATATCATCCCTACAATACACGTGAGAGATTCACATCACTAGCAGTAATTGTCAGCAAAAAGTATTTTAAAGAAAGTGGGCCTCTAAATAACATGGTGATTGTACCATTCAACTTCTAATGATCTTATGCAAAATACATGGACTGAAAGCTTGGCATGCCATCATCTGTAAGCACCACTTCTTTCTTCTAGCATCCATTTACTCTGCGCCACTCAGAGGAGTTCATCTCTAGAAGGGGATGTAGCACGCCTCTGGTTTCAGGGCTGGGCTTAAAGCAGAAGAACATGGTAACCTTGGAAGCATGGAAAGATTAATTTTTGTTCTTAAATCCTCTCATTTTGGGGTTAGTGATATATGATCACCGACAAAAAAAAAATAAACCTCCAACCTCTAATATAGATGACTGAAGGATGACTTGGGTACTTAAAAAGTAAAAAATAAAATTTGCCATCTCTTGGCTAGAACTACAAGATTAATATCCATGAAAAGAAAGGCAATAAATAGATAAAGGAAATTGCTACCTCATTATTTGTTTTCATTGGTCATAAACAGTACGGCAACCAAGAAAAAAAAAGGTTAGTAGATAAAAGTGAAAGAAATGTCCCTACATATGAAAATAAGTGTGAGTCAAAATACAGGAACAATAGAAATGCATCAAAGAGACTTAGGCCATAAAACCTTTCTCTTTCTTAAGCAAAGAAATATTTATGATTGGTCTTAGAGGGCAGCTTAGCTGACTTGCCATGAATTATTTAAAAATCCCAAATACCTTCCATTGCTTTTATAGAAGCTTGATTTACCAGTTGAAAAATCAAACTGACAGTTTAGCCTCTCATACAAATACCCAAACTTTTAAAATGCTCTAGGCATTATAAACATATCTTTCATGAATACAGTTTCAACACTCCTAAAAATAACCTTTAGGAGGAAAAAGAAAAACACAACTCTTTCAAGCCATTGTTTTATACATAACAGCAGGAAACCAAACAGCACGTCAAAGCCAACGTGATTAACACACTCAGTAATAAGCGTGAACATTAAATAGGAAATCTTACTCAAATACATTTTTTGACATTAGCTTGGGGTCTATGACTTAGCCCCCCAACATCTGTGGCCACAGATGATTCCAGGGAACCCATACTCAAAAGGAAACTGCAGGGCCACCAGGCTAAAATCTGCCTTAGGATGATAGTTAAAAAGGCCATTTCAGGACTGGCCTTGGAGACCAGCACCCTAAGAGTTTCACCCAGACTCAGCCCTGACCCCAAACACACCACAGCACAGGGCCAGTTTCCATACTGCTGCTCACAGGTGAAATCCAGGTTGTCCAGAAAGCAGAAGGTGAGACAGACAAACTATGGGTATAAGGACCTAATGTAAGGATGTGAAAAGGCTCATAGCAGCTCATAATTTGGTGCCCGGTACGCTATTGGGGTCAATATGTATTTAGCACTCTCCATAAAGCTGATCCCATCTCCAAATATCAGAATTTAGAGAGCCAAAATATCCTACGATCTATGGTCTCCTAGGTTCAAGTACAGAACCATAGCATCGTCTCTTGAAATAATAACCACTTTCTATGAATATTCTGGTCTAACTGCCCATTAAACGCCAAGTAAATATTATAATCTCCAGACACTCCACTTTTAATAATTCAATATGAAATCATCTCAATTGGTTTCATAATAAATGAGATTTTAAATTTATGATATGGTGAACAGAAAGCTAATGTGGGAAGAAATTCCTGAAAAATTAAACAGGTAGGCTAAAGGAATCTTATTCTTGGTTTTCTGAACAAATGATCAAGGCCACATTCCGCTGAGGCTAGGAGAACCCTTAATAAGCAGCAAAGAAGAGAGGGAAGAGAAAGAAAAAGCCGAAGTTATAGACACTAAGATCAAAAGTGTTTTCTCATCATTTTTCTTCATTCTTTATGGGTAGAGTTGGAGAAGGGACTTAAATCAGTAATATTGGCTAATTTTCTTCTACAACAAATGTAATTCACATTCCCATGTTCTTTTCCTGAAAACTACCAATTGTTCTAGGATTTAGAACATCTAATATGTCAGACTAGAGTCCTTGGAAAATCCTAAAATATTTCGATACTAGATATACTTTTGAAGTAGAATCTTTAAATAAGTTACAAGGGTCATCTATGAAATAGGTATACTTATGCAGATAAAAGAAATACCTTGCGAATCAGCAACCAACTGGATAATGTAAGAAAGACAAATATTACTTCTTACCTTGTTTTGATCTGTCCAGTAAAAGAAAAATCCCTGAGGGTCAGACCTCAAAATAATTGGAGTGACAGCAGTGGAGTCCTAGAAATGTAAGAAAATACATGTATATCAATATATATGCCTGTAGAAAATCCTACCCAGAAGTTACTCACAAGGTAATAATTATTAAGAGTTTCTCCAAGGTCATCAATTATTAATAAAAATTTCAAAAAAAAATAGACATGACATCTTTAATGTCATAGAATGATTAGTTACATAACTGAGGTACTAGTACTTTAGTAATGATCGGAATATTTGGATATTACGTGTAAAGGAAAAGTCCAGTAATGCATATGTTTATTTATTAAGACAGATTTTTTTTAAGGCATTGGTATGTTTTCTATTAAAAAGCTGCACAGACTGACAGATCTTAAGGGAGGGGGGTGGGGGGACAGGTAGAGAATGTCCAAAGAACTTATATGTATATATGCATAATTCATGGATACAGACAACAGTGTGGTAAAGGCTTGGGGTAGGGCTGGAACCAAGAGGAGCTGGGCAGTGGGAGGGAAATGGGGGACATCTGTAATACCCTCAACAATAAAAATAAATAATTTTTTAAAAAGCTATATTTAGTTTTCCAAATAATTTTAACACTACATATCATTATCTATATATATAAAAGCCTAAGCGATCAGCCAACCTTTCGACTGTTCGACCGGTATCTATGACGTGCACTGACCACCAGGGGGCAGATGCTTAACGCACAGGCATGGACACATGGAACAGACTAATGAATCTCAGAGGGATAAGGGGAGAGGGAGGGCAGGAAGAGATTAACCAAAGATCTTATATGCATACTAGAGGCCCAGTGCAAGGATTTGTGCAGCGGTGGGGTCCTTTGGCCTGGCCTGTGGGGATCAGGCCGAAACTGGCAGTCTGACATCTGCCAAGGGGTCCCAGATTGCGAGAGGGTACAGGCAAGATCAAGGGAAACCCACTGGTGCATGAATCCATGCACTGGGCCTCTAGTATATTTTATATGAATACAATTAATTAAAATCAATGCTTAAGATCATATTTTAAAATACATTTGTATTGTAAAACTATTTTTAATTGTGGTCAAGAGAGTAAACATAGCATTTGGGCATTGCCGTTTCCAAGATAACAGTTAATAAGGCCATCTTCTACATATTCATAAGGTTATACACAAAATTGTTATAAATCTAAATTTGCCATGATAAAAGAAAACATCACAGACAAATGTAAAGCATGCATATTGTAAAGCAAAATCTGCATGCTCTGTAATTATAATATTAAACATTTCTAAAATCTGTGTTCTTTCCTTTTGGCAATTTTCAGAAAGGCATACCATCTGCACAAGAAAACACATGTCATTGGATATGGATTTTTATACTGAAATACTTAGGCCTTTGCAGGAACTGCATTTTTTAAAAGAGACATAAATTACCAGTTTATTTCAAATTTTTGCATATGCATTATAACTGTGATATGTCATATTCTTTATCTGATCAAAAGGACTTGTAATGAAAATTAGAACATGCAGAGATAATTTGGGAATTTGGGATTCTTTTCCAGGTGGGAAAAATACATTGATGGTTTTGGTCCAAATGGTAAATTTTATTGGAAGAGCCAGGTTATAGAGGCTCTGGGGTTCAAATTTCTGCCGGTCCCATCTTGGTGCCCCATTCTACACAACCACAACTGAAAAGAAAATGAGATGATAATAATAATACCCACCTCAGAATGGTTTTGTGAGAATTAAATAGGATAATTTGGGTAAAGCACCTGGAACAATGTTTGGTAGATAAAAATGTGTACTATGGTTATAGGGAACTATGTTTACAAACTGATTTATTAAAAATATATTAAATGAAAGTTTATCATGGCATTCCTTTTTTACTTTGACAGACATATATGACATAAAACTTACCATTTTAAAATGTCAAGTTTAGTAGCATTAACTGCATTCATCACTACCACCCCCATCTCCAGAAATTTCATCTTCCCAAACTGAAACTCCATACTTCTCAAACACTAACTCTCCATTCCCTCCTCCCCACCCCACACCCCACCCTGCCCCTGGCAATCACCATTCTATGTCCTATCTCTATGAATTTGACTACTTTCCGTGCCTCAAATAAGTTGAATCATACAATATTTGTCCTTTTGTGTCTGGCTGATTTCACTTAGTATAATGTGTTCAAGGTTCATCCATGTTGTAGCACGAGTCAGAAGTCCCCTCTATTTTAAGGCTGAATAATATTCTATTGTATGCATATATCACATTTTGTTTACCCATTCATTCATCAATGGATATTTTTGTCTCCACCTTTGGGCTATTGCAAATAATGCTGCTGTGAACATGGGTCTACAAATATCAGTTTGTGTCCTTGCTTTCAACTGTTTTCAGTATATATCTAGAGCAGGAGCATATGATAGTTCTATATTTAATTTTTTAAGGAAATGCCATTCTGTTTTATCCTGATATTCTTAAAATTCACTTTTTACATGCAGTTTGAAATATATCTTTTACAAGGATTGTGCTGTTGCATAGAACTTCACCTGGAATTTTAAAATTTCAAAATTACTTTTAAATAACCAAAAAGACATTTTGGAAACAAATTTGATATTATAATGAAAGAATAATTTTTAAACTATTTTCAGTTTCTCCTATGAGATTACCCATTAAGAGTTTAGAGCAATATTTCCAATAAATCATAGCAATATTATCACTTCTGTTTCATCATCTGCACTTGTAGATTCAGGCAAAATATGTTTCCAACAGGCTGCACACAGCACACATCCCCACTTCCAGGTGAATCTGGGATTCACCAGGAAGCGTAACTTATTCTCGGGTCACTTCCTTTTCTTATCAGTGTCTGACAAGATTCTAATCAAAATCTTGGTGACAACTCACTGCAGGAATCAGACAATCACATATTAAAATTAGGAGAGTAAAACTACTCAAAATTTCTGGAACATCATAGGCTGCCTCGCTGTTTCAGATACTGTTATTTTTAAGTTATTCCTTGTCCTCCTTCAAAATTAAAGCTCCTTTGTTCAATATTTTCTTGACCCCACTCTTCCGGCCACAGATCCTCTGTAAATGATCATTTATCTCGGCTCCCTGCCTGCTTCCTCCATAATCACCTCTAACATTCCAAGATCAGCTGGAACTTGGCATTCTTACCATGCAAGGCCGGATTTGACACAGAAATACACGAATATCCATTTTCAATGCCACCTGCTTTTTTCCCCACCTCCCACATAGCTGCAAGTTTCTATATTCTCCCCAGACCAAAGTAGCCACTCAATCCAGATCTCAATTATTCTTAATTGTCACAACATGTGCTCTAGTTTGGAGCTTGAAATACTTCATTTCCCAGGTAACTGCAGATGGATTAGGACTCTTGCAACATTTTACTGCAGAAAATGGAGACAACTTTCAGACGATCCATTGTTCACTTTCTCTCTCTCTGTCAATACCTCTGAGACGTATGTTCCATTACATGGTGGTTTTCAAACTTGTGAAAGCATCAGATTTTACCAGGAGGGTTTGTTAGAACACAGATTGCCGGGCCCTTCTCCCAGGGTTTCTCATTTAACAGGTCTGGGAAGGAGCCTGAGAATCTGCATCTCGAATAAGCTCTCAGTGCTGCGACTGCTACGCTGGTCCAGGGACTACTCTTTGAGATCCATTGGCCGACGCCTACAATGGGGTGAGGCTTTGGATCAGGAACACTGTGAGGTGGCGGCCTGTGGAGCACAGTGAGCTTAAAATGTAAGCAAATACATGTAAATGCACAGACTCTAACAAAGAAGGCAACTTTCATTTGCTTATTTAAAGTAATAAGATATTTTTCCAATAAACATCCACCTTGAAAAAGAGAACACTAATATGTATATACCTGTTTTAAGTTAGTAATAGTGGATGATGTATGTCCATTTACTCCTCTCTATTTGAAAGAAACCATTTTACTCTCATTCCTATCTCATCAATAGTGAAGACTAATATAATGATATAAAAGGTTTTGCAGTGTGCTGTTTTGCAACTTACATGAATTCCCCAAAAGGTCTTTAGGGCAAAGAAAAAGGACAGTCAAGGAACAAAGTAAAGGACTGCTACAAAACCCCAACATCCACAAGAAAGAGAAACATTTCAGCAAAAGAAAGAGTCATTGAAATCAACATTAACATTACAAAGACCTATCATTACCATGGTTTCCTCATCAATGTGCTGTCATGAATCAATTGTATATTCGAATGTAAAGTTATATGAAATTATATATCAAAAAAGATGAACTGTAAAACTAAATAAAATAAATCCCTTTAAAACAGGATATAAAAAGCAGGCAGAGGATTTGAAGATGGCAACGTAGGTAAAAGCCTGTACTCACCACATCCCACAACCACATCAAAATTACAAATAAAATACAGAATCATCATCTAGAACCGCTGGAAAGCTGGCTGAATGGAAGCCCTACAACTAGAAAAGTAAAGAACAAAGCATATGAGGCGCGGCTACAGTGTTTTGGACAGGTTCAAGCCTTGGACTGAGGAGAGGGCACAGTCCTCTCATTGCCACGTGCAAGTCCCAGCTTGGAGGGCAGAGCCCTCCCAGCACAGTTATAGCCAACAGCTGTAGTTGTAAGCTTGAACCTATGGTCCGAACACGTGGCCCACGTGCCTGAGTGATGTGGGCTTGGTAGAGTTCAGGTGCATGTAGTTGAGTAGGATTGAAACCCGCAAGAATGTTGTAAACATCTTGATCACACCCCTATTTTGCCTCGTGGCATCTGCTATAAAATAAAGACACGGCTTGTGGGCACTGGCGCTGTCCATCAGAGGAGCAGCGGCCCACCGAGACTGAGCTTTCATTCTCTTGTCTGTCTTTTCTAAGCCTTTCATCGCCCCCACTCAGGGTCACTGAACCAGGCTGAGCTGGCATTGAGTATGCCATGGCCGTGCTGGCTCCCCACAAAAGCACACTGAGACTGGTAGGAGGTGTGGAAGCACAGAACGAGCTGCTCTGGCACCCATCTGTGCCTCTTTTTTAATCGGGAGGGAGATCCTCTCTGTGGAGGCTGCCAGGAGGAGCGAGGGGTCCCAGCCCCACACCAGACCCCTGGCCAGTGTCCCAAAGCTGGGAAAAGAAGTCCCTAGGGCAGTAAGAACTACAGACTATAAAAACCAGTGCGGATTGGGGCAATATGACACACAGGCTGCTGGAGACCCAGCTGTTCCTCTTAAAAGGCCAGCACCACAAACTGAACTTACAAGGTCCTGATTCCTCTGAGCTCCAGTGCCAGGGTGAGGCTCTGGGGAACAC